AATAAAAACTGGTTAATTGCTTGTTGCAAGGTTCCCATAATTCACTTTCTATTATATTCCACCATGTAAACAGAAGAGAAAAGAATGAGGAAAAATCTAACCTGGGTAAGATTAAGAAGTGAAATGGTAGGAGTTTAAGGCAAGGACAATACAGGACTGAGCTCAGAAAGCATTTAGTACATATTTTTAAGTCAGATTCCAGTATGGAATTTAAGGAACAGGTAAAGTTTCCTACGACAAAGGCCTCAAAACTGTGAAGTCTGCCTTTCCAGAATAAAGTAACCACTCCAGTAAGAAAGAGAAGAGGACATCCATTACTTATTGTAAGACAGACGCTAACCAAACCAGTCACCGAATCTTGGCATTCTTATTCCACGGCATCTTTTAAAAAAATCTCCCTTCTCTTCTACCACTTCATGACAGTGAGTATACTTTAGCTATTAATAAACTGTCAGGCTCAAATCCTGGGTTGTTTTTTTTTTGGTACCGGGGATTGAACTCAGGTCCTTAGGCTTGCAGGGCAGGCAGCGGAACCACTGAGCTAAATCCCCGGCCCTTGGTTTTTTTTTTTTTCCATGGTATGGCATTGCACATATTACTTGCCCTTCTTGTGCCTCAGTTTCTCTACCTATTAAGTGAGGATTAATTTAACATCCCCCTCCTAGAGCTGTTATGAGGGTTAAGTAAGTTCATATTTGTAAAGTGCTTAGAACAGTGCCTAGGTCTCACCAAGAGTTAAGGCTGCAATCATCACCGCCACCAGCATCTTCTCTGTCATCACTGCCCTTCTAATGCCAAACTCTCTGACCAGGGGCATTCAGTTTGTCCTATACTGTTTTGTTTGCTTTTGTATAACTGTCTTTTTTATGAGCTTCTGTACTGTTAACTTTCCTATTGCCTGTAACTACATATAGAGGAAAGGAATTGTGCTCTTACGTTTTTATGTCATGCCAAAGTTGGAAGACTAGTAGGGCATACTCTGCCACGTTAACTGCCATGTTAACTGCCATATTAACTCCCAGAGTTCTCTGAACATGTAAGATCTCTCTAAGTAAGGATGGGGGTAGAGAGCATAATGGATATGATCAAAACAATGAAGAGGGATGATACGATCAAAGTATGTTATATCCATGTATGAAAACACCACATTGAAACTCAGTCATTTTGTAAAATTAATAGGCACTAATAAAATATACTTTAAAAGATCCTTTTATAACACCATGTTCATATTTATATATTTTTTACTTACTTTCTCATTGCTTGGGAAATTATTTTTCCTTCAAGATGCAGTTTGGAAAGTTAATTTCTTAAGTCTGTGTATCCCAAACTGTTTATGAACAGATAATAATCCATAAAGTCATTCTCACTGATGTATGGCAAAAATGTCAGCCTTTTTCTGAAAATAAGATGCTCCTAGTTTGTCCATGCATGTGTGTTTTTAAATATCCTTTCATTTAGTTAAGAAGTCAGAATAATTGCAGTTTTCTTGTTTGTTTGTTTTAGTCTTCTGGAAATTTCCTTTGGATTTTTTTTAACACTTTACTTGTTTAGCGCATATTTTCCCTTTGTTTTTCTGCTGAATGAAACTCTGTTTTTTAGGTCCCAATTATTCCTTTTTCTTGATCTACTCTTTTATTTTTACAAAGAACATCTTCCACATTTTTCTGAGAAAAGATGTAATAAAATGTTAAGATCTTGTACCTTCATGCTGCAGTTATTTGATAGCTGTATGACTACAAAATTCCAGGTTGAAAATAATATTTTCTTAGACTTTTGAAGGTAGAGTTTCAAGATCTTCTATGACCTAATGTTGCTACTATGAAGTCAGATGTGATCTGTATTTTCTTAATCCTACTCTTCTGTATATAAATTGTATTTTTAATAATTCTGGAAGCTTAAAGGATTTTCTTTTTATTTATTCTAATGGAGAACCTTTTTCATTAGTTTTTCTGGGAAGTGATGAGTCATATCAGTTTGAAAAATATCATGATTCAGTTTTGGGAAATCTTATACTTCTTTGTTTTATCTAGCCTCTCATCTTGGAATCTTATTACTTTGATAGTAGATTTCCTGGACTAATTTCTACTACAGTACTGTTAACACTTCCATCATATTTTGGGCACATTTTAGTGTGTTGCTTTATGTCTCTAGAGGAAGAAAATACTATGCAGAGCCTCAAAATATTGCTGTAGTTTTTGATACCCAGAATTGAAAAACGTAGGCATATCAAGAGGTAAGGCCAAGAAAAATAGATAAGACAATAGAAACAGACTGACAGGGGATTCAGATAGAGAAGTTATGAGCCATGAGCTTTTGAGTAGCTCTGATTAATATAGTTGAAAAATTTGATAACAAGATGAAGAATTTCATCTGAGGAATGAAAACTATGAAAAAGAAGAAAATGAAATCTTATAATAGAGAAATAGGACTAAAATTAATAATGCTGAAGTATGTTGAATCATTTGGCTCCTACATAAAAGTAAACAAAAAACCCTACACAGATGCTCCAAGAGACGTTCTGGAGAATGTTTTTAGCTGCATTATTCATAACAAAAGGGATAAATAAAATAGGGTCTCTATGCAATGGCATATTATTTACAGTACTGAAAATCAGCAAATTACTGTTACACACACTGAAAAATAAATCTCACAAACCAAGTTTTGTTAAAGAATGCATACATGAAAGGATATGATTCAATGTCTACAAAGGCCAAAAATAGACCAAATTAATCTAGTAGAAGTGAGGGTTGGAGATTACCTCTCAGCAGAGGGGAGAGGGTCATGATTAGGAAAGGACATGAGCAGGGTTATGAAATGCTTGTGATGCTCTATTTCATCTGGGTGGTGGTTATAGAAATGTGTCTGCTTTTTGGTAAGTCCTCAAACTGTACTCTTAGGGTTTGTGTTTGTTTGTATAGGTACATAAGCAGTTCATAACATTTATAATATATTTCAATAAAATAAAATGTTTATTGAAGTAAAGCAAGAACAAATTATTCTTATTTTATAGATACAGCATCTTTTATTAACTCTCAGGGAAAATGTATGTTCTGTATCATATCTATTTCCTTCTTCCTGTTAGTTTTGGCACCTATCATGGACTTGATGTGCATGAGTTTAGAAGCGCTCTGGTTCAGTTTCCCCACAGATGAAGCCTCCTGGTGCCTGGTTATGTGGAGTTAGAGAGGGAACCTGGGATCCTATAGCAACCTAAACAGAAAGGAAACACTCTCCTGTTTTTAGTCACACCTCTACCCTACTGGGCTGCCGATTTATGAACGTCTTTCAAATTCACTGGAAAACCTCTCTGTAAACCCAAAGGTTTCAGCTTTCTTTGCTCTTCTAAATCATCCCTTAAGCTTATAAAATTTATCCACATCTTTTGTCTATTGTTGTTTCTTCTCCCATACTTTTCATCCTACTGGATTTATATCTTTTTAGCCCTGTATTTTAATTTTAATTGAGTTTAAATTTTAGTTGGGTTTAAATTTTAATTGGATCAGATATTAAAACATGCATTTAACTTGCTATGTTTGATGCACTTGTTTCTTTACATTTATACTCATCAGATTATCATTTACCTCCTATGATCCAATGAAAAGTACAGATACATTTCTGGACATTTTGAGGCTTATTAGCTAAGCTCTATTTTTAAAAATGATACCTTTCACTTTCCCGTATAGCCTTCAAGTGGTGTATGCGATGAGCAGTTGAACTTGCTGTCTTGTGATCTCTTTAGGGAGCTGTTAATACACTGCCATGTTTTATTATCAAATTGAATTTATAGGCACAGTATCTTGTTCCACAGAGTGAGCTGCAGAAGGATTTCCTGGACACTTATCTAGATTAAGTCTAAGGTCTAGAAACAAGCTCCTAAGAAGTAACCTTTGACATCTTGAATTCAACCCTGATTCCTGGACATGTGGAAGACTTTTAAAAAAAAAAATCCCAATGAAAATCAAAATTAAGCATTAATATTCTTTTGTGATTATTTAATATTATCTTAGCAGTATGGTATGTCATATTAGGAATCCAAGATTGGTGAGTTACCTGCAGATTTATGAATAAATTAGGAATAATATGAGGAATACTCAACTCTATTTTCACATGATCACTAGAAATTTAATGATTGTTGCCAAATAACTTTATATACAGAATGAAAAAGAATACAGACAGCAGCAGAGTATGCTAGATGCCCAGAATCATTTGCATGCTCTTCCTAATTTGAGTACTTTCTCACACAGTGAGTCCTGCCTCTCAAGTCAGCAATCAGTGCTGTGCTTTCCTGGCATCCCTTCAGCATGCAGCTGAGGCTCCAAAAGTCAGATAGATATACCACCCTTTGTTCAGCAGAGAGAAACATGAAGAAGAAATGCACTTCCGGTGAAGGTGGAAGGGAAGTAGATATCCTCCTTTCAGGAGCTTCTGGAATAGAAATTCTGGAACCTAGAGCCTGGTACTGTATTATGGTTGGGTCTCCTCTAAGGGGGAGAGGGGCCATCCTGAGCAGTTTTGTGGTAGGGGCTGGATTTGTTCTGGAGCAGATTCTACACCTGACATTCCAATGGAGATTCTGTCAGTGGCTGATACTCTTACATAAGTTCATCTTCTTTCTTGATGACCTAGAGAGGGTCCTACTGTTTGCAACAAATAGTCCTAACTCAGACTGTGTTACCATAAACAAAAAAGAAAACCACAAAAAGAAAACTTAATACATTTTTATGATATTCAGCTATAATAAAAATAAGCATTTGATTCAGAATAAAGAAAGCAACACAATTGCAATCAAATTTACTTTAGCAGACATAAACTCAAACTGCTACCATGCACCCATGCTCCCTGAGAAGCACAGTTAATTCTAAAAATACATCAGAGCCAGCGATTCAGCTCAGTGGTGCCACCGCCTGCCTCACAATCGTGAGGTCCTGAGTTCGATCCCCGGTACCAAAAAAAAAGTAAAAATACATCAGAGAATTCTAAAACTTCATCGCAAAACATACCATCTTTATCTGCAGTGTCTTGAGGCTTGGATTTTAAGGTGAAGATCTTCCGCAGTCTGCAGTTAGCCGAGACAATGATGCCATCCAATGACTGGAAAACTGCCCCCTTGAATACTTCACTGGTGAACGCTGCCAAGTCAATGCACAGATTGCACCACTACAATCGGGAGAATCAAAGGAGAGTAAGGACCTCCACAGTTACAGAAGCGAACAAGCCACGATATGAGGAAAGCCCAGAGAAGTGAGGCAGGTATCTGGATCAGTCAGCTCAAAACCAATATTCCCCTATCTCTGTTTTGGCTTAAATTTTCTTAAAAATTCCCTTATTCTTCCCATGAAATCACCATAACCTAACTTATACATCGGTCATCTGACTACAGAGTTTCCATCTGAGAGGTTTTTTTTTTTTTTCCCAGTACATTTTAGGTATACAGTACAATTACATTCATCATTAAGATCTTGTACCTGTACATGATGTATTGGTTCTTATTTTTTCCCCATTTCCCTCCCTTCAAACCCTCCATTCCTCCCTATTTACGAAGACTTTGTTCCTATTTTTCCATTTTCTCATATTAATTCCATTCCCTTCTTTCCTTTGCCCTACTCCTCCCACTTCCCCTTCCCCTTTGCCCCTTTTCTTCCTATTTCACATTATCTATTATACATTTTCATTCTCATTTACACTTTTAGTTTCTCACACCAGAGAAACTATTTGGTATTTACATGTGTGTCCTATTTATTTCACTTAAGAGTATTGCCTCAATGTGCATCCATTTAGCTATAAATGATGAGACAGTTTTGAGAAATAACTGTCTGTAGGCATTATGCTGGTGGGAAGCTAACTGTAGGGGCACTAGATCAAATCTTGAATATCAGGGATAAGTAGCCAGTTGTTCCTTCAAGGGGACTAATTTGATCACAATTAGCCACTTATATTTGATGAAAAAAGAGGACATGGATGAAATTAGAAGCTAGGTTTAAATTGTAGTCCTTGCTGTCTACTTATAACAAATTAACCTATTGTACAGAAATAGATTCTTCTAAACAATTTGTGATTATGCCTGGTATTTGCTAGTTTTAAAGTACTCTTACTGGGACTAGTTTCTGCTCATTAAACAATTAGATCCTCAATACGTCATCAAAGATACTCTCTAAATAGTCTGAATGAATTAAAGGGAAAAATAACCATTTAGTGAGAAATTAAAGACTTAGTTAAGACTATAGGACAAAAGTAGAAAAAGGAATTTCTGAAATTAAAATAGAAGTAGTGTTAAATTGTATGTGCTTATTTTAAATATCAGGGCTCTTCTGTTCTTTGTTTGGAAGCACAGTTTACTTAAGTCCATTAAATAATTTAAGGCACACCCTTTCCACCAAGGAATGTTGATTTTAATATGGAGGTGACCGAGATTGTTTCCACAGCATTAAAGTAAAAGCGATTGTAGGAAATGACTGATTAACTAACAGGGAGATTCTTTTTGCAATGTCTTGGCAGTGAAATTATTTTCCCAGACCATAAGAACGCTTTGGCCTCTTGGGAGGCCAGGAGCCTGGCGAAAGCAAAGGTGAGAAAGAGGCAGGGCCGAGTGTAATGTAAGGACGCTGGAAGGTGAGCTGGTGGGAAGTCTCACGTGATGGCCCAGTGAGGCCGACTGCGGGGGGGGGGGGCGGCTCAGGACGCAGATGTGCATTCTACAGACAGGACAGGTGTCTGTGAATCTTGAAAGGAGAGTGTGCAAAAGCAGAGTGCAGGGAAGTTGGGAACATTACATACGGAGGGCTATTCCGGAGCGGTAGAGGAAGTCTGTGGGGGCTGGGCTGGCCTGCGGCAGAGTAAAGATCACAACAGAAAGAGCTAGTCAGTCACTCGAGTCGCCCACGCATGAAGTGAGAAGGGTTCGCCAGAAAGCTCCCCGAGGAACTGGGATGTAAGGAACAAACCCAACACATATGCCACATGGTGAAGGACCTCGACTTTAAAATCCAGATTATAAGAGATGGAGGTGTTAGGGTTTGTATTCAGCACAATCTTTAATATTATTATTACACTAGCATTATTATTGTTTTCTAAATATAGTTTCTAAAGATTCCTACAAGATTTAAAATCACACACTAATCCGACTCATTCAGCTGGGATCCCACTAGGAATCCCATTCATTCATTTTTCCCTGTGTATGCTAAGCACTTAGCCAGGTGCCAGACACTGGGCATGGCTTCAAGACACGGACACAAGGCCATCCTTCCGGTCTAGGAGAGACGCAGACATGTGGAATGGACTTAATACAGCTATTATGCAACAGGCTCATGGCGGGCAAGTGGGAAATTTTAGAAAAGACTTTTTAAAAAACATTTAAAATATATCAGTTATTATAGCAAATATAATTCAAATAGTCTGAAAAGTTTTATATATTCTTTTGTCACCCTTCATCTAACCATACTGTCAACTGAGTTTCCACTTCTTTCTGTGTTTTTAAAAAACACCTTTTGATTCATCAATTTTAGACATCACCTACTGACTTCCTACATGGTAGACAAGACTTTTGGTTCACTTATATACCTCATTCCTTCTGATATAACTTCATCTTTCTGTCATCCCTCATTTACTATTTTTTCCTTTAAAATTCATATTGTTTTCTTTTGTTGTGATTATGTATTATACACAACTGAGCCAAGCGGTACCCTATGAGTATCCTCCTTTTCATCATAGAACTTTTTAAAAACCTTATTTTAAAGTTAATAACAGCTGTTTTTATTACCTGCCTTCTTTTCTCTGACTCCAAGTCTTGTCATATTGTGAATGCCAAGTTTCTTTAGGCCCAGGGAGGCATGCAGAAGAGCTCGCCATCTTGTCTTAGGGACCCGTCCCATTTATTTGTGCTCATCTGTACTCTAGCTGGCTGCACCACCAGCTCTAGTAAGGAATCTCTGCCCACCTCCTTCAAAAACTGAGTCCCAGGAAACTAGACCCTTACACCCAAGACATATTTTTCATATCCATCACAGTCATGCTGCTTTTATTGTCTCTGCTTGGCCTCATGCTTCCTGGAAAGTACTTATTAATAATGGTATGCATATGTGTGTGGATGAAAATATAAAGACATGTAAATGCATTCAGGCCTACACACATATTCAATCTTCATTTTCATTATTTATAATCATTCAATAAATAAATGTCTGGGAGCCGATATCTTTATTTAATGAATCCATTTCCTGGGTGTATAGTTGGGATGTTCTTGAAAAAGATGAGAAAACTTTCACAAATCCCTTTTGGCTAGAGAAAACAAATTATTTTTTGGTTTAGCTGATATTTATAAAGGTTCCAATTTTCATAAGCCTCAACAAATAACTCATTATTCATATAAATGCTATGCTATATATCCTGAAATTTTGGAAAAGGGTATGAACTGTCTACTACTAAAAAGTGGATTATGTGAATTATAGTTGATCCTTATAAATTACTATTTTCATTATTCTTGGTGATATTATTCATTCTTAAAATCCTTTTTTTTTTTACCATTTTTCTTGATCTCTAATCATTTTATACCTCTGTGCAATGCTAGTCCAGTTGGAAGAAAGAACTCTTGACCTAAAATGTTTATAATTATGGTCCTTAAAACATATGCACAAGGAAGAGAGGAACTGATAGGATAAAGACGGCTCTGTTTGTTTCATTGCTTGGATTAATAAGTGAGTTTATGGTGCTTGCTTCTGGCAAACAATTTTGGATGGAGTTCTCTGGCAAAGGACAACTTAATTAAAGCAACAATTTCCAATTTTTAGTGACTTTCATCTTGGCAATATGGCTTTAAAAGGATATGTGTTAATATAAGTTAAAAGAACTGTCCATTCTATGAAATCACACACACACCCATGCACGTGTGTTCAAATGCATGTAATAAGTCCTTGGCTGCCCCAGCACTTTGTGGTTCTCTAATGCCCCTATTCTTTGCAGGAAAGATCCCAAGACAGTGGGTTTTATTGTGTTCATGTGCAAAGCCCCTGAGTAGGAAATGACAAACGAGAAAGCACCAATTTTGTAACTTATCAACACAGGTATAACTTCCCAGAATTTTAAAGCTTATTCTGTTTTCCTGTTCCTATAATGGTATACAAAGAACACGGTTTTATTTCTTGTGGCTTTGAAAATAATTTTTCACATATTAGTTTTAATTTCTCAATAGAAAATCAGCTTAAAAGAGGTATGTTGCTTTATTTCCAAGTACTTATGGATTTTCCAATTACCTTCCTTTACTAATGTTTAATTCATTTGCAGTTACAGAATATACTTTGTATGATTCCAATCTTTCAAATTTTGTTGAGATTAATATAACAACATATTGTAAATCTTGATGAATGTTCAATGTGCACTTGAAAACTGCTGTTCTGCAGTTATGAGTTGAAATTTCTACAAATGTGAAATATATCAAGGTAATTGTTAGTGTTTTTACATCTATATCCTTTGTGATTTTCTTTCAATTTCTGGGGGAAAACTCTTAAAATTTTCAGCTACACTGTGCATTTACCTTTCTCTCTTTAGTTCTGTTAGCTTTTGTTTCATGCCTTTAAAGTTGCTTCATAATTTAGCCCTTTTATCATTGTGAAACATCCCTCTTCACATAATATTCCTCTGTCCTAAAGTTTGTCTGGTCTGCCATTGATACAGACACCCTAGTTTTTTTTTTGGTACTGGGGATCGAACTCGGGTCCTTGTGCTTGCAAGGTAGGCAGCGGAACACTGAGCTAAATCCCCGGCCCTAGACACCCTAGTTTTTTATGATTAATATCTGTACAGTATCTTTTTCATTTTTATTTGTAACATATCTGTGTTTTCAGATTTAATGTGTACTTCTTATAAACAGCATACAACTGTGTCTTGCTTTTTATTCAATCTAACCATCTGTCTTTTAATTGGTGAGTTCAGTTTATTTCCACTTAATGTAGTTATTCTGACCTGTCTGAGTTGAAGGCTACTATCTTGATCTTTGTTTTCAATTTGTCCCATGTGTTCTTTGTTTAGTTTTGGATTCCCATAACCTTTTGAATGAAAAATATTTTCACTGTTTATTAATCTCTTCAATTGGCTCATTACTTATTATCCTTTGTTTCAATTTTTGAATAGTTTCAACAGAGTTTACAATGTATTTATAACCTAACTTTGCATAATATTAGAATATCTCCTGGCTTAAAAAGCTTATAAAAGTTTACTACCATTTTCATCATAATTTGTGTTGCCACATATTTCACTTTTACATGTTATAAATTCTATAATACAGTCTTATTTTTTGTTTGAAGCAATAAAATACTTTTAAAGAAATTATGATATGAATAGTTTTAATGTTTTATGTATATATTTACTTTTCTTAGCACTCTTCATTCTATTTAGATCCACATTTCTATCTGATATATATATGTATATTTTTCAGCTTTAAGAACTTCCTTTAATATTTTTGTAAAGTCAATTGTCTGGTACTGAATTCTTTCAGCTCTTTAGTCCAATTTATTTTGTTTTGCCTCAATTTTTCAAGAATATTATTATTGTTACTATTTTTGGTACCGCGGATTGAACTCGGGACCTTGCGCTTGCGAGGCAGGTGGTGGAACCTGAACCCAGAGTCTCTGCTCTCGCTCTCACAGCACGCACCACGTATATGGCAAAGTTCTGTGTACGTACACGTCTTAGTGTACATGTTTGACCCCGCATTTCTCATGTTGGTTCACATCCATTCCCTACTGCTACCACCAAGTCCTCACTGGCCCTGTTCTGGTCTCTTTATCTTCACTGTTTATCCCTCCAAGTCACTGCAAGTATTGCTACCAGAATAATCTTCTGCGCGTTCCTTCCTGAGTTCAAAAACTTTAATGAGCTCCTTTTCTCGATTATAGAGGGTTCCAAAGTGTGGAACATGTGCCATCTGTGAAATGACTTTAATCCTAGATCACAGAATAAGATCTCCCCTTTTATCAGTTTCCTTTCAGTTCTTCTAATTATGTCAGGGAGAATACTTCTACATGTATCTAATCCTTGATAAACTCTTTGTGAAAAGAGCAGACCTCAAAACAGGGCCTCTGACAAGAAACTCTATCTAGCTAGATATTAACATATTGTTTTCTTTTTAGTATGTTTATTTTT